TGCTGGGCTTTAAGGAAGCAGACCCTTTTACATGAAAACAGTAGCCCTGCACCAAAAATTCATTCATTCATCCAAATAGTATTTATTGAGCACCTAGTCTGTGTATTCTGCATGATGGATGGATTATGGTCCATGATTCTTGGCCTCTGGAACCTGACTATCTGCTGGGACAATGAATGAGATATAAACACAAATAATATGAGATGAGGATATAGCCAGTCCTATGTGAATGATACAAACAATAAGTAAAATACAATTGTACAGGGAGGAGGCCATTTCTGAGAACAGAAATTTAAAAGAAAGAAAAAAAAGCCTTTTCTGGACTAGAGCACACACACTGTAAAAATGACTTGGCTCTTGGGAGACAAAGTAGGCGAACATTGCGTGAGTAGAAGCTCAACAAGGATGGCAAATCGTGGATTCAGAGAACAGCAAACTGACCAGTTTGGCCCACATGGGAAATGGAGATAAAAATCAGCTTACGTGGGGTTCACGGTGGGAGACAAAGTAATGCTTTATTCACTGGCTCCCCATTATCTACAGAATACTGCAGTTCCTTACTCTGCTCTTTAAGGGCCGCTATGATCTCTCCCTTTGTGTTGGTTATGGATGTACTGCAAAGGCTGCTTACAACGTGATTCCTTTTTTAAAAAAATATTTATTTGACAGAGAGAGAGAGAGAGAGCACGAGTGAACACATAAGCAGAGGGAGGAACAGAGGGAGAGGGAGAATTAGACTCCCCACTGGGCAGGGAGCCCTACGTGGGGCTCCATCCCAGGTCCCCAGAATCATGACCTGAGCCAAAGGCAGAGGCTTAACTGACTGAGCCACCCAGTTGCCCCTGAAAGTTCTTTTCTTCCTGCTGTGCTGATAGTTTCAACCTAATAGGTTTTAACTACTGAATGAATGAAATAGAATTATGTTCTGTTTTCAAATTCTGTACAATTTGGAATTATCTCTGTCCCAGGAACCTCATGGTTTAACAGGGGAGACAGGCAAAGGGCTGAGGCAAGGCCCTGAGTTCAGATGTGGGGCAGAAGCCCTTGGGGCTGGGGTCCAAGGCCCCTGGGCCCAGGCAACTCTCTGGGAGGCCAGTGATCAGAGGCCCAGCAGCCTGGCCTGAGGCCTTGTGAGGCTCTGCTGTGTCTCCTGTCACTCCTGCTGGTTGCTTTCACCTTTTGAGGTGATGAAAGCACCAGATAAGCTACATAAAGGAGACATGAGAACAGAATAACTAGTCAAGAATCAAAGTGCAGGAGCTAAAGGGAGTGTTTTCTGGTTGCCACACGTTAAATTCTTTCATATAACTATATTGGCATAAAGAATAATTCCTGGGTACATTCCATTTGTCCTTTGTTTCCTCCCTTGTATGATTATATTATTATTGATGTCATTAAAAGTGCATTCATCAGACCTGGCTGTCAGAGAGTTGCACTTATTTTGTACCCACAAGCAGTTTTGAGGTAAATCTCTTGCTTTAGGGCATTAGCTGATCAATACAGACATCTATAGTGAGGTATTGTTTTCCCACCTCCTGCATGACTCCATTTTCCTAAGGCATGCTGGGGGTCTGGTCTTCCTTTCAATAAGAACTCACTCTAGACGGGATGGGGAGACCCAGGAGAAGGTACCCCTATAAGAGAACATCCCTTCGGCAGTCTCCTGCCGTTGAAGGAGGGGCAGCTGGCCCAAGGAAAGCCCTTGAAAGAAATACAGCATCTGCTTATCGCCCCCAGCTCTGCAGTTTCCTTCAGGGCAGTCTGTTTCCTTCCTGGGTTGTAGTCTGATCTCAAGTCCCATTTTTATCTTCGACGTTTAAACATTCCTGCAGTCCAAGACCAAAACCTCCCTAGTAGTATCTCTAGTTATAGGGAGGGAGTGTGTCTCATTAATTTCTGTGTTCTGGAGACTTAGCAGGGACAACATGCGTGGTGTCAAGTGGTCAGAATTGCTGACCTGAACTGAATTCCTAAAATGTGAATTTAATGGTTTCTTCTCCATTACATGTTCCCTCCCTCCCCATCTTTCCTTTCCCACCACCTCCTCCATTCAGTCACAGTTCTCTGCTGTCCAAATCCACTCTGGATTCATTCAAACATCCTTGGTATTCTTAATCCATTTCATCTTCTTGGAGACATGTCTGCTGGAATCTTTTTGCCAACACCACCCTGACCTGATGATCCTCTGCACCCAGTAGGATTAGGAGACCCTGGCACCTCACCTCGTCATCCCAGGGATTCCTTTTTCTTTCTGTTTCTGGAATCTTGTATAGCCCTTTGGTTTGGTTTACTCTCTCCCTTTGGTCTTTCAGTACCTTCCTGATAAAAGGTGAGTGGCAGGTAACTTTTAGGCTTCGTGTGTTGAACATATCTTTTTTCTGTCCGCTAACTTAGTTGCCTGATCAAGATACAGACTTCTATGTTGGAAATTATTTTTCCTCAGAAGTCTGAAGGCAGTGCTCTATTTTCCTTTAATGTTTCGCATTGCTGATGAGAAGTCTTATTACTGATCCTTTGTCTGTAATCTGTTTTTCTCCCTGGAAGCTTTTATGATCCTCTCTTTGTCCTTGGGGTCCTGAGATTTCATCATGGTCAGCAGTCTACTTGCCGTTATTGTGCTGGCATCAGACGGGTGCCCAAGGGGCATGCTTTGGGGTCTCACTGTTTGGATTGAGATCCACTGCCACTATCCCCTAGCTTTCTGACCTCAAGCAAGCAACTCAACCTCCATGCCTCAGTTTCCTTACCTTAAAATGGGTATAAAAATAGTACCTACCTCAGACGGTTGTTGTGAGGATTAAGTGACTTAATATCTGTAAAATGCTGAAGCCGGTGCCTGCCGCTTAGGAACTACTACTTAAGGAAAAGCTTTTATTAAGGTTTCAAACACAAAAAATAATTTCATAGAGTTTTGTGACGTTTCCTTGACTCTGTGCCTTGAATACAAATGTTGGCTTTGAGATGGGGAATGGCTGCACGGGCAGGGGTGGGGGAGCAGCTCTGAGTCTCTGATGTGAAATAAAATTTCAACAGGGCTTGGCTGATAAAGAACAAAACAAATGGAAAAAAGCAATAGGTGATTGTTAACTGCTGGTAAAGCACCCCCAGACTGTGGAGTCTCAGCTCAGGACTGGAGTAAAAACAGGTAAAGAAAAGAATTTTTAAAGGAATCTTGTCTCACCACATTAGGATTCACATATGCTCCCTGAAAGAGTGTTTTCATTTTTCAAGGTAAAAGGGAGCAGTATCAGCATAGAGATTCAGATTGAGAGTAAGAGAAACAGGAAGATGCACTGAAAGTTTTGTGTCTTTATGAATGAGAAATATCTGGTGAGGATGCTTTCACCATTACTCTTTACTAATGGTTATACCAGACCAACACACAGGCACCACCTAATTTCTATACTAGGAAATCAAATAGACGTTTCCTTTCCTTCTAAGAACCTGAAATATTAACATATAAAGAGTTCACAAACTCACACTCAAAATGAACTATTAATACGCACAGTAATTCAAGGGGACCAAAGAGTCCCAGTTAATGAGGGAAAACTTATTTTATCAAACAGTGCCAAATAATACATTTGGAATGAAAAAAAATTTTAAATCACTGTCTTGCAGTCTTATGAAATAACCAATTCAAAGATCATTGACAGATGCTAAAACCACTAGTTGAGAGGGGATGGGGAAAGGGGTATTCACGTGGTACCAACGTATTGTATATGGAATGCTTACTACTTGCGAAGAGATGTTTACAATGGAGACATCTGTGGTCACCAGGTGATCCCAATAAGACCACATCACTAATGGTGAGACACACCAACTTGTGGAACCTGGTGTATTGAATATGAAGACATCATCTATGAAATATACTCACCAAGAATCATTACCCTGATTCTAATTAAGCTTTTGGACCTAAATTCCGTCTTAGATGACAGGGCATAGAACCAATTAGTTACACAAAATCATGATGAAAACATCGGGTGAGTCCAGAATGTGTCTTATCTTGGTCAAGGCCAAGTCCAAAGCCAGGACAAGGAGATTGGTCTACATGATAAGAGAGTTAGGAGATATAACCATATGTTATACATGATCCTTGATTGGATTTGGGTTGGAAAAGATATTTGGGGGATCACTGGAGACATGTGAATATGGAATGAGCATTAGGCACATTATGCATTCAGTGTTAATTCTGTTGGATGTCATAATAGTACTGAAGCTATGTAAGAAAATGTCCTTATCGGGGGAAATGTGAAAGCATTAAGGGGTGGCCTTTCATGATGTAATTTACTTTGAAATAACTTGGCTGGATAAATAGATATGAAGCAAATATGATGAAACAGTTAACTACCGTTGAATTAGGGTGGAAGGTAAATGGATATCCATTGTTTTATTCCACTTTTCTATTTGTTTGGAAATTTTATATTAAGTTGAGAGAATTGGCTTGCAGATGCAAAATTGCATAAAGCTGGCCTGACGGTGTTTTGGGAGGGGCAGGCACGAGGGTCATAAAGGGCCACATTTGCACTGAGCACCCTGGAAGGAGCTTTTGCTCTTTTGGAGTTCAGCAGAGCAATAGAGTGAGACAGCCACTTGCTCTAGAATGTATGAGAGTTTGGGAAGAATTAATGTGCTTCCCAGAGCGCCCAAGTTATTGTCAGGAACGATAACTCACTGGCAGGATCAGACTAAATAATTCATGGTACAACTGCAATGGGAATACTCATATTTGGTTGTTGTTAGTTGGATTTTTCCCCCCAAATTAAATCACCTAAGTTTATCTCCTTTACATGAGGTGTTTTGGGGAATGCATTTCCTTTTTTTAATCAATTCTTTCTCCCAAACAACATGAATTGTCCTATTTGCTCAGGTATAGGTATAGAGTAACAGTTAAAACACAGAATTGCTTCCTACAATGGCTAAATTGTTCTTACAATATAGTTGTTGCTTAAGAAGTGAGTTGACTGCTCCAGGCATGTCCCTTGTTTCCTACGTGATCTCAGGGAGCTGGACTGTGCCATGTTACGCCGCCTGGAGAAAAGGATTCTGGTTGATCTCCCGAGCCGGGAGGCCAGGCGGGCCATGATCTACCACTGGCTGCCCCCTGTGAGCAAGAGCAGAGCCCTGGAGCTGCGCACGGAACTGGAGTACAGCGTGCTGAGCCAGGTAGGCTGCCCTGGAGGGAGCGCCTGCAGGCCTGGCGGCCGCTATGCAAATCTTCTAGGCTGGGTCCTCTCCTGAGCTGTTTGGGGCATATGCCTTGAGTCACTCAGGAAAGACCGGAGCTGCCCCAGCAGTGCAATGTGAAAGAGTGAGCTCTCCGTCCCTCAGAAACATTCCAGCAGGGAGGAACTGGGTGGAGTGATGTCGTGGGAATAGCACAGGGTTTCCACTCAGAGAACGGAGGGTCAAATCCTGGTCCCGCCCCTTATTAGCTGTGTGGCCTCGGGGAAACCACTTACTCTAGAAGCCTGTTTCTTCATCTGCAAAATGGGTAACCCCTAGGCTGCAAAGGACTAGTGATGATTCACACAAGTCTCTTACAAATGGAAATGAGGGTGTGGGCCTGCCACCCTCCTGGTCACTGCTGTCACTGCCCCCTATGAGTGGACACTTGAACATAATGATGTTCTCTGAGGTTCCTCAAAGGCAAGTATGATCTTATTTACAAGAACCGAAGTGTTTACCAAATGTGATCATCCTTAGGTTGGGACACAAGGGCCCCATCAGGCTGCCACGGGTGGTCTGCTCTCCGCCAGCATCTTACAGCACATATCTGGATGGTGGTAGGAAGTTTTCTTTATTGCTCAGCTTCACAGGTTATCCAAACGCATAAGCAGCCTCTCCCCTTACAAGCATCATAGCTGTGGGAATCTTTGTGTAGTGTTCCTGGGGGACAGATACAGGTCCGAAACAGGGGCTCTCATACAGGGTCTTGCCTATAAGAACGTAATCACCACTAGCACTCAGCTAGTGCTAGTGACCAACAGCTGGTCTGTGGCTGTTTCAGGAGACGGAGGGCTACTCAGGTTCAGACATTAAGCTCGTCTGCAGGGAAGCAGCCATGCGGCCTATGAGGAAGATCTTCAGTGCCCTTGAAAATCATCCATCAGGTATGGCCGGGATCACAGCAAAGGTACTATGGGAGAGGAATGTGTTAAAAAACCCAACTTTCACCAGCAGATGGAGCCTTGCTCCTGTTCTTGGGTGGCTCTTCACACTTGTAACGTTCTTTGGTCAAATTGTCCTTCCTGTACTCAACTCATTTCTCCTCTATTGTTCTGTTTTGGATCAACTTTGTCCCAGGTGATAAACTCCCTGGGGCTCAGGCTTTTATTTCTTTGGCACACTATGATGTTGGGCTGGATCCATTTGCGGCACTCTATAACTATTAAACACTACTTTGATAATGATGCATTTAAGTCATATTTTTTATCTGGGCTTGAGTTGCTGAATTGCCCATTAAAGAATTTCTTCCCCAGCTCTCTTTAGTCTTGCCCCTTGCCGCATTAACCATTAAGAATGCTGCATTATGCATTGTCTTGAAAAAAAAGATCTATTAGCATTTCAAGAGCACTGATCACCATAAGGTCAATTATTGTGCTGTTACTGTTGTGTTTTTATCCAGAGAGCAGCAATTTACCTGGAATCCAGCTGGATACAGTGACCACTGCTGACTTCTTAGATGTGCTAGCTCACACCAAGCCTTCAGCAAAGAATCTGACTCAAAGATACTCAGCCTGGCAAAGTGAGTTCGAGTCTGTATGAAATCACATTTATCCTGCCCTGGCCAGGGACAACCACAGAGGCCTCCTAATTTCTTAGTGTAAGCAGAGGAACAATGATTGGAACAGAAAAATTATCCTTGAAGACGGAGTTTGTTTGAACAACTATACTATTTTGGAAATAAGAGGTATTTGTGTTAATTTTTCGTCATTGATGCCAGCAGAATACTGAAGATGTCATTTACAAGTGTATATGCTATTAGTCACACAAAGACTTTTCTCACAACTAGACCCCGCACAATTCTGATGAACAGTTTCTTACAGTGTTCCTTGTTTGTGAATTGGTATTTTCATTTTGAAGAAAAAGATGTAGTTTAGGAAGTTGTGTTGGAATGCACAGAGTGGCTCTGAGTTGAGGAGCCAAGTGGAAGCTGAACTTGACAGACCATCCGCCCAGTTGATGGGCTCCAGGGTGGTTAAGAGTGGGCACAGGGAAGGACATGTAGAGTGTTTCTTCTGCCAACATCCGCAACCTCATCGGCCCTCCCTAACTCTGATCCCAACCAGTTTTATCAGCAGCAAAGCCTGACCACACTAGCTCCCACCCACAGAGTCTCAGATCCACCTCAGGACAGGAGCTTCTTGAGTCTAGAGCTAGTAGCAGGGTGGCTGTCCCCCCAACTCCCCACAGCTTCCAGTCTGAGCCCTCTGAGTTCTGGCTCCTAGGAACATCTTTTGACTCTCCCCTTCCCATGTGCTCAGCCCTCTTCCCACTGAACAGCTCCTCAGTGGATCTGAAGCTAAGGATGGGGAACCAGAGATTCCACAATCGCTGTCCTAGGTCACCCCTGCTCTTTGGCTCCCCCACATCTTCTCAGGGGCTTGTCAACAGTTGGAAGCATCTCCTTCAGAATCTCATGATTTGAGGCATCTACTTTCAGCCACTGATAATCACATCTCTAAGTGATGCCACCACCCCTCTTCTCAGCTAGAACTCACCTGTGGTAGTCACCTCCTTTTCCCCTTCCTCACCTCATTTTCTTCATCCCTGCAAGGCACACTCCTCCTCCAAAGAAAAACTTGCAGGAAAGGGGCATTTTGGATAGCTAAATATTCCAAAGGATTTTACCCTAATTTTAAACAAAAACAAAGCACTTTAGGGGGGGATACTGATTATTTTGAGCAGAATATTCTCTAATGCCTTTAAAAATGCCATTTCCTGGGCAATGTAGCCAAACTGAAAATACACCATCTATATAACAAAAATAAACAAAGATATCCCAACTTAGTATAGGCTAAATTAAACTTCTTTGTGATCATGGTGTTGCACTATGCAACGTTAGTGCTACCCCAGACGTAGAAGTCTGTATACGAAATTTACGTCTCAGGCTGCCGTTCTGTTCAACTTCCATCTGCTTTCTGTGCTTTGGGATCATTTTGTCAGGCTGTCAGCAGACATTTCTTGGAGCTGTAGGCCACTACCATCCTTTCTGTTTTCACAAGATCTCACTTGGATAGAACCTCAATTGTTGCTAATTTGTTCTGGTTTGTGTGTGTGTGTAGTTAAAAGTGAACAGGCAAAGGGGCAGAGGACACAGCCCCTGGGGAGAGCATGCTTTTTGACAACGTCTGGCATCTTTTAGCGTACCACTCTTTCCTTACGCCATTCAGGATCAGCAGGGTTTGGCCATCCCTCATGGCACATACAACCCTACACACCACTATGTCCTGGCATGCTTCCACATCCTTCCTTCATTCCTCTCTTAAGAATCTCTAAGTTCATCTTTGTAATACTTCCATCTTGTTGAGTTGCATATTCAATCCTCCTCTTTCCCTTAGAAAGTTTGTCTCCAAATAATTATGCAAGTATGTTTGCAGGTCCTTTTATTTCAGTGACTTTTTTTTTTTTATCTGTTTTATAGACTATCTAAGGGCTTCCCGCTTGGGATCAAATGAGATGTAGCTCTTTCATCCCTCTGCTGTGTCCCTACCCATACACAGGTCTTTCCCCACCATCAAGGTTAACTCAGTAATCAGTATTTCTATGAGAACACATACTGTTCATGCAGAGCCAACTAGTGAATCAAAATTACATTCCCTTTATGTTGATTTTGTCTTTTTAGGCATTGATAGGTGCCTTGTTTTATCATTTGCTTGATTTTTGAAGTATCTATTCTTATTTTTTGCAGCACATTCCCAGATCTGTCAGATATCTATCAGTATTAGTTTCTAAATGGGCAATATTGGATAAACTGTCCATTCCATTCCCATACACTCTGGTCCTGGTGTTTTAAGAGAAAGGCACCAGGAACCATTATAGAATAAGCAGAGATGTACCCAGTCCCAATTTTCAGGCCTGTAGTTCCCCTGGGCTCACCACCATGCCTGCTCTCCTCAAGGCCTTACTTGGCTCCACCTTTCTAGAGAATAAACTTCCTTCCTTCTATGGCTGGGGGTATGCATCTGGCTGCTCAGAGCTGGGAGTTTCTGGGGCTCCAACCATTCTGTTTACCGGCTTCAAACTAATTCCTTGCTTCTCAACCTACCTCACACCTCACCTCCACTCTACCTGGTGTCTCCAAGCCTTGGATCTTTGAGGTTCCAAAGGCTGTTTGGGTTGTCTTTCTTTGCGCCGATTTTTGTTAACAACCCATCCACTCTCCGCCCTTCAAATTATCATAGCTTCCCGTCCACTGGTATCTGCTCTCATGGCTCTCCTTGAGCTTATACCTTCTTTATTTCTTTACCTTGATTTTAGTGGAGCTCTGAGAAATAGAGACAAACTAAGACATATTAGTTTATGTTTAGAGTCTCTATTATTTAAAGAGTGGATTAGAAGTAAACCCGAGTTTATAGGGATATAGGAACGTAGCCTATTGTTGGAGGAAAATTTGACTTCATCCAACATGTGGTATTTTGTCAAAATGCAGAAGTCACAATGCCTGCAGGAACTTGGAACATAGTAACACATGAGTAAAGTAAGCTGGGTCTAAGAGAAGGAAGAGGTGAGGGCTGGGATGGAGAGGGTGAGACTACTTGAATAACGTAGCAGTGGTACAGCTCTCATGACCAACGTTGCCAGATCTTGGTCTTCCTAAGAAAACCAGCAGTATCCGATTTGCATTTGAGATCTCTTGATGCCCAGATGTTGGCAACAAAGGTTAAGTATTTGTTAGAATTCGTAGCTTGTCCCTGCATTTTATTTACGTCACCATCAAGCCTTCACAGCCTTATCTGAAATAATCCTCTCCCTTGTTTTCCTGTTCATCATGTAGCCATAGATCTATTGCATTAAGTAGTTGTGTGTAGGTTTTGTCTTTTTACCCTACTCAAAATGTTAGCCTCCCATGGTTGTGGTACTTTTGTCACTGCCATTGAATGAAATATCCTTTAAAACAACATTCTTTAAAATGAGCGCTTTATTTGTTTCACAGGCTAGAAGCTGTGATTATTGTTCCAAAGCACATAGGTCACTGCCCATGACCACTTCTCTGAGAGGACTTCTGTAACACAGTTTGAATTTGTCAGAGTCCTCTGGACTACTATTCAGGTGCATTTTTATATGCTTTGATTTCCCAACTAGAAGATATGCATCTTAATAACTGGAGCTACTCTCTGCTGTCCTCCTTTGTACCTTACCCACAGTTGGCATTTATAATTTGGTATTCTCAGGTGCATTAGCCAGTGAAACAAACAGGAGTTGAGTTGTGTAGGACGTGAAGGTAAGCATAGAAAAGAGGAAGGTATTCAAAATTGATTTTAAAGGATATATAATTTCAATGATAAATGATTTCTGGTGCTCTGGTGTCTCATTCTGGTTGTCCCTTAAACAAAGCAGCATGCTTCAGGGTGACAGGCCTTGATGGCTGGCCTAATAAAGTCAGCAAAGGTCCTAGTTTATGTAAAAGAAAAGTTTTTGTGACTTATGCCAAAGGAACCTGATAACACAAACATGGCTTTATGCAAGCATCTGCTAATATGAAAAAGGGATTCTGCTGGTTAAGGTGGAGTATTTTAGTGAAATAGATTAGTGTTTTAAAAATTCTTTATTGTAGGTGCCCAAGGATTTCAGTTTCATTCTTCAGGAACCACTAGTGATCCCAAACCAAATGAACATAACCCATGCAGGTGTGTTTTTGACTTTCTGGTCCAACGTGGTACAATAATTTCTAAGTGTGAGATTAAGGGTGAGGTGATGACACTATCCTTCCAAGGGACTTTCTGACATCAGTGACTACAGTATTCCAACGGCCCCGATCAGCTCCGACAGATGCAGAATGGTGGGTAGAAGAGCTACTGCACAACTAGCTAATTCTGGAAGGATGAGAGTGAAGTGGTGGGACAACCATGTCTCCACCACTGGGTTGGTGCTTTGCCTTTTTCCACACCCGGCACACCCCTGGCTTAGAGCAGATGCTCAGTAATCCGCTCTTGACTAGTGAGTGTTCTCTACTACCCTTTCCAGTTCCAAAATGGCACTTGGTGCCTCTTCTGGGCCTAAGAGAGGATTGTACTAAAAATGATGCAAACACTGTCCTTGAGGTCATACCACAGGAAAGCGCTTTAAATGGGATGGCTGGAAAAACGAAGTCTTTCAGGTACTTCAGTTATTAAATATCCTCCATGAAGCCCAAGGCAGACCAACCGGCTGTGCTGGCAATGTTTATAGTAACCTGGATCTAAAACAAGATTTTTATTTATCTTCCTGAAGCTCACTGTGGACAGGTCAGCTAACAAGCTCTGTGTTTGTTAAATACAGCCAAACTAGAATGGAGGAAAGAAGCCTTTTTCTTGGCTGGGGACCTTATTCTCACATGGTCTTACCTATTCCTGTCACTGTTTGAGTCCTGGCGCATCAGTGATGTCTGCTTCCTTGCTTTAGCTCTAACCTGTCTCTAGAGCATCAGATCCCTTATCTCCGAGTGTCTAATGTGGCCTCTCCTATGGGAAACGAATCCAAAATGAAATTTTTCTCCTTCCTACTCATCACTATACCTTCTAACATTAAATTCCTATAGCATTTACTAGTTTGTATTGGTTCCATAACCATCTGAGTGCCTAACTGGGTTGCAGGAGGTATAGGAAGAATGAGACACTGTCCTGTCTGGTAGGGAGAAGGGACGTGTGAGTAGCAAAGTGTAATGTAATAAGTGCTATGAGAGCACGAAGGAG